AAGGCTGACGAAGAAAAAGAACGACGAACTCGATATGCTGAGGAAAGAGAAGGCCGAACACGACGAGCTGGAGCAGCAACGTCGCAAGCAATCGTGGGCGATAACAGCCACGACACGATACTTTTCGAACGACACGATTCTCAAGAGCAGAAGGCAGCCGGTGCCGCTGGATACGTGGACGGGTCTTCTGAGGCGCACGCCATATTTCTCCCATTGGGATACTACTTTCAAGTACGAGCCGTACGCCATTGGCGCCTCCACGTGGTTCCCGACGACAATGGTGCAACTGGTGGATGAGGAGCCTAGAGATTGGAAGCCTCCGCCTAAGATTTATCTCTTCTCTTCGGGCTTCGGGGCATTCGATACGCAGAACTGGTGGTTCGTGAAGACGACCCACCCGGACGGCGGCGTGACGATGATTGCTTACTATGACGGCAACCGCACCTGGTTCGATGGGCTCGGGTACCCTACCCCGCTTCCTGTTGCTAGGACACATCGTTTTGATACCAACACGCCATTCTTCTTTGTTTATGTGGTTGACAGATACAAGCTTGCGTTCATGTACCGAGACTAGTTTAGCGAGGGTGATCGTTCGTGCGCACGCTGCTAGCCGCCGAGTTTTCGGTTTGTTTCACTTTGATTTGCAATATATGTTAAGAATAATTATTTAATATTTTCTTAGTCTTATATGTAATCTTATAAAAAAATTGTAATGTTTTCTTAGTCTTGTTTGTAATGTTTTTTAAAATCGGTTTTTTAATATTAGTGATTCACGTTCATTATATTTGTCAATCCGTTTATAATAATGGCAAAATACAACTGTGTAGCTAAAATATTGACGGTTTGGTCAAATATAGTCATTTTTGGCGAAATAGAAAAAAGAGCTGGGTCTCGTACTCTATGTAGGTCAAATAGCTAGTCCTACTTTAGAGGACTCGGGTGCTTCAATCTGTACTCGAATTTTCGCCTTTGCTTGACAATTTCGGCGATCTCCCGGGGGGTGAACGGCCCTCGACGCTCTAGGTCATCGAGAAGAAGAAGAGATGGAGAGAGGTGGGAAGACAGAGCATATGAGATTGGGAAGGGGATGGGGTTTTTTATCTTTTTTTTTTTTTAGATTTAGGTAGAGTTAAAAAAAAAATACTTTTGTAAATGACGTGTCATCCACCTGTCGCTGAATGTTGAGGTGGAAATGATAGAGAGTGTGTGTTGGTGGACAGGTAAGCTTTCCGTTAATTTGACTAACGGTATCATCAAATTTTTAAAATTCTGTGTATTATTGATATTTTCTCAAAAGTGGCTATTATTGCCACAAATGTCAAAGTTTTGGCTACACATATAATAATAATAATAAATTTGGTTTATAATGTTTGTAAGAATAACTTGTAAATACTAATGACTTGTAATGTTTCTTTTTTTTTTTTTTTGATACCCAGGAACCTCAGCCCCACGTGCCACTTTGTGACAGCGGGTCCTACTAAACCTGGGGGCCACCTGCATTTAATTTGACGCCAACGGGGCTTCGCCCCCAGCAGCCTTGTACCTCCGGGAACACCAACGGGCCTCGCTTGGATTCGAACCTGGGATCTGCAACTCCCAAGCCTTCACTGTTGCGGCAGCTTTTACCGTTAGGCTATCTTACCTTTGGTACTTGTAATGTTTCTTATTTTGCATTGTAGTGTTTCTTGGCCTAGTTCGTATTCTTCGTATAATTGATTTGTAATATTAGTTAAATCTAATTTATAAAGTTGGTAGGTTAGTGATCGCCTTTTTCTAGTGCCTCTACTAAAGATAAAATAGAAATAGATAATAGGAAAACATATAAGCAATCAAAATACCAACATCAATTAAGAACTCACATGATAAAATGAGAATATATCATAGAAAAAAGGTTCATGCCCCCTAGTTTGGCCTAAGTGACAGTTTTGGCCCCATTTTTCTAAATAAGACATTTATGGCCTACTTTTGAAACTATTGGACAAATTTGTTCCAAAGTTTTCTTTGACCGTTAATATTAATGGTCAAACACAATTCCGTTAATGACTCAACAAAAAAATGCCAATGTGGCACGCCACATCATTAAATAATATTATTTTAATTATAATTCAATTAAAATACAAATTAAAAAATTAAAAAAAACCCTAAACTAAATCTATATCATCGTCAACAGGAGCAGGGGCGAAGCTAGCTTGGCGGCCGGGGGGGCCATGGCCCCCCCGGGAATTATAAATTGAGTCAAGTAGCGATTGGTATTGCAAAGTTGTATTGTAGACTAGTGGAAGAATGCTTGATTTGGGAGGACTAGAACGCAGGTTCGATTCCCTGTGTACGCAGTTTTTGCATTTTATTTGATTTTTATTATTTCTGCATTTTTATTTGATTTTTATTATTTATAATTTCCTAGTACCCTTTCTGTTGAGTGATTTTGAATTTTACTTCCTTTAGTATTTAGTTATTTACTAGCTTATTACCCGGCCCGTTGGCCGGATTACTGCATGTTACCCACTTGTGGAATGAGAGAGAAAGCAAGTGAGAGTGAAAGGATTGAGATCCCACTTGATTAGGACCGACCCACTAATCCGATTCTTCCCGACCCGCCCCAACTTAAAGGGTCAGAAAGAGTCAATAAGAAAATACGAACGGAGAGGATTAGTCATATATCTTGACTCTTCAGAAGTGGGTCAAACAGGATCAAGGTTGGGTGAGGGCAATTTTTAGCGCTAAGCAAAGTTCTGGGTTGAATAACTTTACTTAGGCCTAGAAATTGGTGCTGATGCAGACTTTTTTATTATATCATCATCAATCATCATTAGGGATGTCAATTTCGACCTAACCCGTTTTACCCGACCTGTTTGACCTGTTTTGGGGCGTCCGACCCGCCCCGTAGGCGGGGCGGGCGGGGCAGGTATGGGTTGTCTCATCGACCCGCCCTGCCCTGACCCGCCCCATTCTCGACCCGTTCTTGTCTAAATTACATGTAATCTTAGTCAAATTACTTAGAATTTTCCTTTTATTGCATCATATTTTAGCTATAATAAAGTTGTAAATTAGTAAAAACCTCAATTTCTCCAATAATTTAACTACAATTGTCATAATATTGTTTGTTTTCTTAATCTTATAATAAAAATAACGAATATTTCTAATGTTTTCATATAAATTGCATACCCATTGGGTCGACCTGCCCCGACCCATGACCCGTGATCAATTACCCGACCTGGACTCGACCTGCCATGGGCCGGTCTGGGTACCAAGAAACCCGCCCCGGACCTGCCCCATTGCCATTCCTAATCATCATTGAATTAGTCCTGGGCATCCCTCCCCGTTGTCGGTCTGAATTCTAATGATGGCTTCATTCCTTGCACCAGCCATATCAGCGAGTTGTCATCTCGAGCATAATTTGCCTATGTACAAATGATACAATTAGAGTATGAAACTGAGTTCAAATAAAAGGAAAAGAGAATTCTATCACATGCCAATAAATACACACATAATAGTTGAAGCTAAGTGAAAGTCATTACTCGCACATCAATTCTAAAAAATTACAGACTAAACAATGGCTAGAATGGCACTGAAACTACCAAGAATCATGGACGAAACAACTTGTCAAACTAAATAATCCTTATACTGAAACTACCTTCTAACTTGAAATAAGACATGATCACAGTTCATAGCACTCTTATCACTATGAATTGGTTGCAGCTCGTCCTTATCACTGCCTCCCAAGCTCAATTCAAACAGAATAGAGACCGTTATGTAAGATAACCATATCCTTACTGATCATAATTCCTTTCTTCACTCCATTTTCGTCGGAGAAAAGAGTTATCCCCCTCTCCTGCATTTCCCTTTCCCCCTCTCTTCTCCCTCTTCTTCACAAATCGATCCCTAAACCAGCAACAACAACACAAAAATAGCCTTCGCGTCTGCCATCTCCATCTACTGAACGCGTTGGTGGCAAGACAGGACTGCAGAAGCAAAATTTTCTAAGATCAAACTAAATTTTTTGAAGGAGACTCAACCACAAAAAAAGAGTAAAGCAACAATGGTAATAGTTCAGATGGTTGGTTTTGATGTTATACGTTGCTTTTGTTATGGTCTCCAGTATATTAACTTGTAAATACTAATGACTTGTAATGTTTCTTATTTTGCATTGTAGTGTTTCTTGGCCTAGTTCGTATTCTTCATATAATTGATTTGTAATATTAGTTAATCTAATTTATAAAGTTGGTAGGTTAGTGATCGCCTTTTTCTAGTGCCTCTACTAAAGATAAAATAGAAATAGATAATAGGAAAACATATAAGCAATCAAAATACCAACATCAATTAAGAACTCACATGATAAAATGAGAATATATCATAGAAAAAAGGTTCATACCCCCTAGTTTGGCCTAAGTGACAGTTCTGACCCCATTTTTCTAAATAAGACATTTATGGCCTACTTTTGAAACTATTGGACAAATTTGTTCCAAAGTTTTCTTTGACCGTTAATATTAATGGTCAAACACAATTCCGTTAATGACTCAACAAAAAAATGCCAATGTGGCATGCCACATCATTAAATAATATTATTTTAATTATAATTCAATTAAAATATAAATTGAAAAATTAAAAAAACCCTAAACTAAATCTATATCATCGTCAACAGGAGGAGGCGCTCCTCCTTCTACGAGGACCGCCGCCGCGGCGCTCCCACCACTTCCGCCGCCACGCTCCCACCATTCATTTTTCTATCCCTTCATCCCTCTCTTTCTTCTCCTCGTCACTCCTTCCGCCATCGCTGCCGGAAGTGAGAACCCACCTCTGTATGTCCGGAGAGGCGGTTTTGATCGCCCTTGTCACCGTACCTCTGACCATAACCCCAATGATGAGGACCCATCGATCTGTGATGCTGCCCATTAATTTTTTCGCCTTGTGAGAGGGAACCCATTAACCAATTTCACCTTCTCCTGCCCTTTTGTTCGGCGAAGATTGATTTTAAAAAAAAGGCGAGTTCTTCCAGTAGCGGGGCAGTAATTTCTTACCGTCGAACGACCAAGCCAAGCAAGATCTCGAGGCTCTCCGAGTTTCAGAAAGTCCCGCAGTGGCAGCGCCGCCGTCTCGATTCCGGCGGAGGATCTCCTGGCGTCGCCGATCAAGCACAGTGGGTGGAGTCGGAGTCGGAAGTGGTGAAACTTGGGCTCCACAGGTGGCGGATCTTCATGAATTTTTCTCTTTTCCCCTGAGCATTGCCCACGTGTTTAGGGTTTCATTTGGAATTTCTTTAATTTTTGGATGGCTTCTTTTGAAGGAAAGGGGAATCGGTGGATGGGAAAGTTAGAATGTAATGGAAGAAGAAGAAGAAATTGTAGTGGTTGGGGTTTTGGGAAGGAAGGGAGAGGCTGCAGAATGGTGGTTGTTGGAGGAGGAGGCGACTCCCTCCTGTTAACACGAAGAGGTTGTTTTAATTTAGAGTTTTTTTTTCTTCTTAATTTTTTAATTTGGATTTTAATTGCATTATAAAATAAAAATAATATTATTTAGTGACGTGGCATGCCACATCATCAGTTTTTTGCTGAGTCACTAACGGAATCGTATTTGACCGTTAATATTAACGGTCAAAGAAAATTTTGGGTCAAATTTGTCCAATAGTTTAAAAAGTAGGCCATAAATGTCTTATTTGAAAAATGAGGCCAGAACTGTCACTTACGTCAAACTTCGGGTACAACTTGAAATTGTACCTTTAATGTTATGATACAACTTCAAATTGTAACTATACTTTTTGTGCAAATTCTTTTACGGTACAACTTGAACTTGTACCTTTATGTGATGGTACAACTTCAAGTTGTAAAGTTGTACCATAACATAATGATACAAATTCCTTTATGGTACAACCTAAACTTATACATTTATTATTATGGTACAACCTAAAATTATACATTAAAGCACCAATACTATATAGCATAGTAGAAGTGCTCCAAAAAAAAATTAGTTCATAAAGGAGAAGGAGGAAGAAGGAGAAGAATAGGTGATCTTTACGGTAGATTATTTCATTGAACGCTCCTAATCTTCTTCTTCAGGGTTGAGCTAATGAAAAACCTTGTTTCTCTGCTCTTTAGTTTGTAACTTTTTTCTCTCACTTTCTCACATTTAATAAATAAAGAAGATTTAGGGGTTGTTTGGATGGATCAATCTAGAAATGAGTCAATTTGATCAATTGTCTCGTTTTATAAACGAGTCAATTCGAATTACCTGCCCCCACCCCAGGTAATTGAAATTGACTCAAAACGGATCAATTTAAAATACCTCAGGCAAATTGATCTATCCAAATTTTTTGCTGGCAAACGAAACAATTTGGTACAATTGTGTCAAAACGAGACAATTACGTCAAATTAATCCGTTACAATTTCTCATCCAAACCCAAACGACCCCTAAGTCAATTACCTACCGGCTACCACTTGTTGTTTGTGCTATTACGCAACGACTTTCGGCATTGACTTGGTTACCCTTCAAAGCTTTATACTCATTACTCAACACAGAAAAAGTCTCCTCTCGAGAAGTTGTAAAAAAAAGAGAAAGCAATCCATCCATCCGAGAGCGAGAGAGAGATGTCGACGGTGGCCGGATTGCCGAAATTCATGGTGCTGAAATCCAAGTCCGACGGGAAATACCTGCACTACCTCTGGAACGACGACTCCTTCGGGCCGTACGTCAACGACCTGGGATGCAAGCGACTCCTGGACCCGCTCAGCCCGTTCGTGAAGCTGGAGGTCGTCCCGTCCGGATCCGACCCGGCCCATCTGATCCACCTCCGCTGCTGCCACAACAACAAGTTCGTGCATCTCGACAGCAAGTACGGCGTGTCCTGGATCTCCGCCACCGCCAACGGGCCGGACGAGGCACGGCCCGGTCCACCTCCACCCTATTCCGGCCCATCTTCCCGCAGGGTGAGCCCAACACGGTCGGGCTCCTGCACGTGCAGACCAACTGCCACGTGCGGACATTCTTCAACCACGGCTACAACGACGACATCAACGGGGTCGCTTGCGCCTACTCCAACGACGGCCAAGGCATGCACCGGTTCGAGTTCGCGGCTTGGGATTCGTACGACGAGAAGATGGCGTCCAAAGAAGGCGAGATCCGGCAGCTGAGAGCGTCTAACGCGGCGAATGTGAGTGCTAAAGACGGGGAGATCCAGAAGCTGAGAGCGTCTCATGAGGAGAAGATGAAGGCTAAAGATAATGAGATCCAGAAGCTGAAATCACAGGCCAAGGGCGGCGGCAGCGATGAGTGTCTGCAAGCTGATGAGATAGTGGCGGCACTACAGGAAAATGTCTCTTTAATCACGGGACTTCCCGTGTTTAAAAGCATGTTTCCCGTGATTACTAAATTTAGTCACGGGAAATTTACCGTAATATAAAGCTCTGTGACTAATTGTGTACCGTGACTAATTATAGCACCAACTAGTCACGGTATAGTTTCCCATGATTGTCTATACCTATTGATCACGGGGAACCCCGTAACTAATGTTAAATTTTAGAACACATGCCAAAATTAAGTACTTATAGAGACGGTATCTCCCTTTTAAGATGGTATTTACTGTGTTAAATTGATTTCCGTGACTATATATCAATCACTAGTCACAGTTTTTACTACTTGTAGTGGCTGGTTTCCCATGACTATATGCCGGTCAACTAGTCACGGTATTTGCTATGGTATTTCCTATGACTAGTTAGGATACCCACACAAGATTAATTATGAATTTTATTCATTATTAATTACAGAAACCGGTTGTAAAGAGCAAAAAAATTTATTTGTTTTTATAATGGTGATACGTTTTATTAATTATTTATTAATTAACAAAATTAGGCAAAGAACAAAGAGGCAAAGAAACAAGAGTTCTCTTCATAACTTATCAGGAGCACACAAGCTAAAACTGAGACTAGCCAATCTTTCAAACCAAAAATCGGCACCTCTGTACAACTACAAACATGGCAAAATAGGAGAAGAAAAGTTCACAATAGTAAGATGCAGAAGCATATTCCTAAAACATGAACTTCTGTTAAGATTTTGGCATCTGAGGCTTTACATTACCCTGCAGCACTTCCATTTCCTTTGTCATTAGTTGCTAAAGCCTGTTGGCTGCTATGAAGATTGCACAAACTCCTTCAGTGAGGCCGCTTTTGTTTAAATGCTGAAATTACTGGGCACACCATTGGTTGGATAAAATGTTGACTCCATTTCAATTAGCCAAGCCTTCTGTATAGCTCTATCAACCTTGCTTGTACCTCTATTTGCTCATGCGACATGAATGTACCAAATAAAACACTAAGCACATTCAGTATGTCATTGAAACTTGAAAGAGACTTCTCCAATTCCATATGAGCCATACACTTTGAAAATTACTGAGGCAAAAGAGATTTCACCATTCAACAAAATCAAGAATGGCAGAATAAATGTACATTATTGCATGTTTGCCGCCCTAAAAGAAATTCGTGACACAATAGAATCTAGAAGGTTGCAAAACACAATAAAAGAACATAATCACACAGCAGAATCTAGATCAGTCTACTTACTCACTTGTCTTGATATAAGTTCTTGATTATCACTTGCTCAAAGCATTTGAGCCCTTCAAGTTTTTTCGACCCTAGTAACATTATTCAAATGAGCTAACAGTTACTGCTCTGGCTAGAAAACTCAGTAGCTTAAGCAATCAAACATACATAAACCATAAACGAAGCACTATAACATTTGTCCTGTCCTAAGACAGAACACATTAGAAGCATAAAATCCATACAGAAGAAGAGCTCCATAATGTAGATTTCAGAAGTCAACCTTCTTTGCTACTTTGCTGATAAGTAGAACCAGAAGAGAATTGACAAAACAAACAGAATTGAAGATGAAGCAATTGAGCAATCCCATACTAGAACCACACTAGCAGTAGAACAAAAGTGCAAGGCGGTCCAGAGAGAAAAACCAGCTAGATTACAGAACTCGCAAGAAACTACAACAAAGTGATGATTGTTACCTTCTCCTCGAGCATGTGGACATGATTACACGATCATTTTCAAGCAAAAATATGTGGAAGAGAAGCAAAACAAATAGTTAGTAAAGTCATCAATTTGTCTGAGTCATTTGAGATTATGTAAAAAGTTGTAAGGAGTTGTAAAGTCATCAATATGTTGTGAGTCTCTAGCAAATAAAAAGATGATGAATAAGAACCAATATTTAACCACTAATGGTCCATACTATGTGCGTATGCAACATTAACCACACCACAGATAGCCTCGATCAAATTTCTCAAATCATTCTACCAAAAAAATTTCCCAAATCAAGATTCAGTCCTCTCAAAGGATCATGAACCCTTAAATTGGAAATAATAGCTTGGAAGTAGTACATACTAACAAGTCCCAGGGTCCTTCAACCCATCTTTTGTCTCATAAGCATCCTTTGATCCATTTACTGTCATCAATTCTGCAACCAATTCAGAGATGCCATCAAATCTGGCTTTCATCATGAACATAGTGGCCTTAGCGGCATAATCAATAGGAAAAAGAATCAAACATAAAATAAACTTGATAAATATCATTAGCAGACACAATTGTTCATGTCGAACGACCTTTTTGCCGGATATCAAGTCCACACACATCCCCAATATGGAACCCTTGTCATCTCTTTGAAACATATTGTAGAAAAACTGAAATTAGAACCATAAATAAAATTGCTAAAAAATCAAAGAAAGACAAGTTTTTCAAAGCAGACCCTTCAAGTTAATAAGGACGCCAAGCTAAGTCAGCTTCAAATAATACAGCAGTGTGGAGCTCATATTTCAATGCCCCACAATGCAGGCGCTCTCAGTTATGCTTTGGGAATAAGAAATTGGTGCAGAGTATTAATGGCAGCTCGAAGGCATTTGAAGACTAGCTTAAGACAATAACATGTATAAGAGCAAAAAGCAACATATGACAGTAAGATTGACCTAATCTGCAGTCCGGATATGGAATTTGACACCATGGTTTAAGCTGGTGAGCCAACACATAAATATAACCAAAGAATCCAAGTGATGCTGTAAGTCAGGCTTTCTATGCTAGTTAAAAAGGAAAAAAGTAGTTGTTATTATACTGTAATATTGCTAGATTATCAAATGAAGGAGTAGCAAATAACAACGCATGAAAGGTCCAAAAAAGAAAAGAGGTGAAGGTTGCAATAAGCCGCTAGAGAAAGAGATAATGGTCAATTTATTCTAGCTAATCCTTATATAATGCCTGCGAAATCTACCGATTCCACTATCCAAATTACGCATACAGCAGGTAACAAGATTTCCTTTTTAACAAAGGAAGACCCCTAAGATATTATATGAAACATTGTATCTATTGTACCGGGGGAAACAATACTGACCATATGAACAGGAGCAGGGAAGGAAGCAACCAATTAGAACAAGAGAGCCAAGGCGGCAGCATCACGAAGTCACACGGCAGGGAGGAAATCACACTGGTGATAAGGCCGACAAATCGGTGTAATTGCTCAAACCCCTCAATTGACCCGAAGGAGAACCTAACTTTCCGAATTCGAATTCAATAGTTAGAACCCTAAATTTCAAAAGAACTGAAACCCAGCAAATTGATATCTTAGAAACCCTAAATTCACCCCCAAAGCCAAAATCCCAACCTCAAATATGCTATTAAAGGATTAAATAGAGAGAAAACTCTCCTACTCTTCAGAAAGTGGAAGAGGAGGGAAAATCTAACCTTCAGAGCCCACCGAGAAGAGGGGTCAAGACTAGAAGAGGCCACGGCACCGGAGAAGGGGCGCCGACGCTAACAAATTTGCATGGCCAGAAGCGCATCATACTTGCCTCTGTATGAGTTAAAAAGGGAGGCAACGGCTTCTGGTTGCGCGAGGAGGAGGTGGTGGTGAGATTTTGTATGGGTGGGTAAATTGTTCGGATGAGCAGCACCAAGGCTGGAAAGGAGAAACGGGGAAGTGGGTGTCTAGTGTCTACAAGGAGATTGGGGGAAGCAAAGTCGGGTCAGTCAGTGAGGAGACCATGGCAAGGGGAGGGTTATCGCGGAAGAAGAACTGACAAAGAATGTAGATTAATCGCATAGAACGATAAAGGAGAAGAAAGATGAAATTTCGAGTGGGCGGGCTGGGGGGAAATTTTAATGGTTAGCGGGAGGGAGAATTCCCTCCAAGGAACAAGGAAATTTTAATGGGAAAAAGTGAGAGGGAGATTTTCCCTCCTAAATTTTGGTAAAGTTTTGTCAAAATTTGAAGTACACATTTTGTTTTCATTTTTACAAATGGTTCTCGGGAAGCTAATGGTCACGGGAAATATTTTCTAAAAAATAGAAAATGAATTACCGTGACTAGAATGATATAATTAATTACTGGACTTTTACCGTAATGGTTGGTATACCACTTAACACGGGATATGTTCCCGTGAATAAAATACCGTGACTAGATATCTGTTTTTCTGTAATGCGGAGCTGCGGATGGAGATAGCGGAGCAGAGAGTGCAGCTGGAAGATGCGTGCAGGGAGATTGACGAGTTGAAAGCAGCATCCGGCTAGAGATACGACGGCATAAACTTGAGTGTCTAATATACCAATATAACAAGCAACATGAAATTGTGGGTTTATGACATCGAATTGTGTTTACTGTCGTTGTTGGTTTACTGGGACAACAATTTAATGAAAATTTCTGTTTGGATATTATGATTTGGATTTGGTATTTGTGATTTAATTTTCAAATATCAAATTCAAATCATGTGTTTGGATATTAATTACTTTGATATTTGGATTTGTGTCAAATTCATGGAGCAATTTCCAAATACATGTCTAGTATATTAGTTTTTTACCCGCCCGTTAGGCGGTGTATTTCGTTTGGTTATTTTATAATTCGTTATAATATTCTAATTGTTATTAGTATATATGTTTGTTAAGGTAATATACATGGAATTGTAAATCTAATTTACCTTATTTCAGATATTTTTTCATACCTTTATACCTTTTGTTTATTTATGAGCATTTTAATTTTATTAACTGAGCTCTTTGTAGACTGTTCTTTATTGATTTAGATTTTTTTTTATCGAAATCGCCCTTTAAGATTATAAACATAAGAGTTATTCATTCTTTGTAGACTATTCTTTATTGATTTATAAATTTTTTTTATCGAACTCGCCCTTTAAGATTATAAACATAAGAGTTATTCATTCTTTAGCACACAATTGTGATAAAGAAGTTAAAAAATTTACAGCCATAAAAGAAGAAGTTAGAATAAGAAAATATGCTTCAATTAATAAAAAAATAAGCGAAGAGCTTTTTTTCCCTCTCCCTTCTCATATGTCGGTATATGATAATAGAGAATATTCCGATCTAAATCCCTTGAATATCGTGTATTATCACTTACACATACAAT